AAATAAATAAAATAAAATGTTAATCAGTTGGGACTACTAGGAATGATTATAGTAGAGTAAAAAATGTGATTAAGCACTTTATTAGTAGAATTAAGCTAACCTGCATTTTTTATAAAACTTGTTTTCATTAATATGCTATTCATCACATTTGTTTGGACTAATTTCTTTGGATTTCTGGATGAAATAAGAACACTCATTTTATTCAGAGTTCAGAATTTATTCTTCAGGAGGAACCCAAGCTAGTAAAGAAGACTCAGTATTGAATATATGATCTTCATTTGACTTCTGGTGATTGATATTGCCCAAAATTTGTGGGGTATATTAACCTTGAAAGTGCCGACATGCATTTCTAGTTGTAGATCCTCCTGAAAAATGTCCCGGGTAATTAGCTCCATTTCTGTAGTGATAATGTGGAATTGCCAGGAAAAGCAGCAGATAAAGTGAACAGACACTGGAACTCAAGGGCTTGTATTCCGCAGAATAGTAACGTGAACCCCAGGGTCCTTCATGCTGTTTCAGTGCCTTGTGCGGAAAGTGAAGAGAAAGACACGACCCCTATTTCCCTTACCTTCTTCAAGTCTCATTTCATGAATAGGTTGCTTTTTGCCACATTCATATGGTAATCCCTTCTGTTCCAATGAGCGGCAGCCTCTGACTTCTAGGTCAATAAATGTCATTCACTGGCAAGAGTAACATAAACAGAGTGGAGTTGAGCCTACTAAGCTTGCGTATATTTTATTGTGTGCATCAAAACAACTCACCAAGGGAGAATATTGAAAATGGAACCAAAGGTAAGACACCTTGAAGTGCACCTGGATGTTGACGATCAGGCATAAATTAGATTAATACAGGATTTCCCTAAGGTGACCTCACAAGGACTTTTACACAGCTCTTACAGATTTTCTTTCAATATGTTTTTTTTTTCTTTTTTTTCAATCTTTATATAATAAAGGTTTTTTTCTCAGTCTTATGTAATTTCCTTTATCTTTGTACTGTTCTCTTCCCCCTTCTAACAAATAATAACTCTTGCACCTTTTCCTTCCCCAGGATAAGACCATCAGGCCAATGTCTTTACCGGTATGCTATCTGCTTGGGAACCGCCACCTAGAAGCAGTTCGAAAATTTTCCCACTTACATCTTTATAAAGCACTGTTTTTTTATAGTACTCCTTTTTCCTCTGTAGAATTCACTCGAGAAGTAACAGACACACAGATGCCCCTTGTTGCTCCAGTCATTCTTCCAGAGATGTATAAGATCTTCACTATGGCCGAGGTATGAAATCTCAGCTCTAAGATCCCAGCGAGTAAGAGCTGCTCAGGTTCTGGTCAGCCTCCACATCTCCTGTGGGAAACTGTTTTGTTTGCTGCCTATCCCCATATCTGAAGACCAGACTGACGGAGATCTGAATCTGGATTAACCTTATATCTTTCACTTATAACTGCGAGGGCAGAAATATATATATATATATATTTCATTCTCTTTGATGAGAGAATGAAATAGCATCTGCATTGTTTCTTCACATATCTCCTACCTCCTGGCATCCTGCAACCCCTGAGTACCTACTGCTTTGTGTTACCTCTAGCCTCTTGTCGAGGCAGCCCACCTAAGCTTGTTCACCTCAGTTAAGTGTGTGCAAAGCAATCCATCACTGCATTGCCCATAATAGGCTTGTAATATGTATACAGTATAAATAAACTGTGAGTGCCTAATGGGTAATGTTTTAACCTCCCCATTCCTCTCTGCCACCAGCCAAGGGTCTGTCTTTGAAAGAAATACGTTGACTGTGTTGAGATTTCAAGCAGCACCCAGCCTAATATTTTTAATCAAATCAGCCCACAGAGGCCTACATATAAGGCTAATTCCACTGAGTTCTAACATTCTGCTGGCTTTTATTCTCTGAATTATGGAAGAAGTCTGTCCTGGATATGAGTAGATGATGTTTCCCTTCTCTAGGGAATCCAGTCCCATGTCAGGATTCAGAAGTCATAGGTTTTCTTCTAGTCACAGATATGCAGACACAGACACGCCTATCTCATGGCTATGCTGTAACTTTTCACAGGTGTATGGTATTCGGACCCGTTCCCGAGCTGTGGAGATTTTTACCACTTGTGCCCATATGATCTGTAACATGGAGGAACTGGAAAAGGTAAGGAAGCCTTTGGGTTAGTAACAGACTTTATGCTTAAAAATCTCTATGCCTTCCATTAGAGGCGTAGCAGTGACTTACTTCAGTAGTACCAGAATGCACCCTGATTTAATCAGAGTTGTGGATGCATTTAGCATTTTGATTACATTTTTCATTTGTATATAGTTTAGCTTCCTTTTGTTTAAGCCATATTTCTTCAACCACCTTACCTTGCATCTTTTCATATGAGCCATTGCCCAGAACTCCACTCTCTTATGGCCTCTCACGTGAGACGAAGCTAGCTAAAAAACGCCAACCCCTGTCCTTCAGAAGCAGTTTTGAAAAGTTGGTCTTATATATATAATAGCTTTTAAGAAGGCCATGATGAGGAACTGCAGGGGTTAGAGAAGAAAACCTGAAATTTTGGGTAACACCTCCAGTGACTTTATGGCTGCACTCTTCTGATTGGAACCCAAGCCGGAAGAAATCTTTAGGTGCCTCAGATCTGTGTTATGGTATTTGATATGTGTAGTGAAGCCACTGATTAGTGGTATGTCCAGTATTGACTTTGGTTTCTGTTACCAGGGTGCAGCCAAAGTTCTGATCTTTCCTGTGGTGCAGCAGTTCACAGAGGCCTTTGTTCAGGCCCTCCAGATACCAGATGGCCCCACATCTGACAGTGGATTTAAGATGGAAGTCCTAAAGGTAAACATTTACTACTGTTGAGATACTTGGAGTTTTAGAAGGTGGTCTGAAATCATTGGTTTTTCTCCTATATCACGTGTAACTCTTAGATCTTTTTCTTTGTAATTTCTCAGGCAGTGACAGCCCTGGTGAAAAACTTCCCAAAGCACATGGTGTCCTCCATGCAGCAGATTCTGCCTATTGTTTGGAACACCCTAACTGAGAGTGCAGCTTTATATCCTTTTCAGAAAGCTTAAGGGACCTGCTACCACCCGTAGTCGGGAATCTAGCATTAGGTCTTGCATTCATGTGGTTCCATTTTTTTAAATGAGTTTTTTAAAGTATCTACTCTTAGGGTTGGAATGTTATACATTCCCTTGTAGAATATATGTAAAGCAGACTCCAAATTCTGTTTCTTTACTCTTCATCATACTTATGTGAGGACAGAAGTAAATTACACAGAGGAAGTTGAAGATCCTGTGGATTCTGATGGTATGTAGTTTATGTGATCTTGACAGATATACCACGTAGGGAGGAAAGGGATCTAGGAAAGGAAAAAGACAAAGAAAAACAGTAACATAGAGGCTTCACTCTCTTAAGTGAGTTTTCTAGTTGAGTTTCCTTTCAGTGTATTCGATGTGGGAAAATGGGACATTGAAAATCTAATCTGTTCCTCAAAGGCATTTGCATAAATCTCATAAAATAGAATTTCTGAGTTGGAAGAGCTACCTCAAAAGCCATCCTATCCAGCCTACTTCTTTCTGGCAGATGATATTTTCATTTCTGTTTTAATATTTTTTAGGTATTTGAAATCAAAAATAGACATGCTAGAAAATATATTCAGTGTTTCTGATTCTTATACTTGAAAAACCAAAGAATTTTTTTTTTTTTTAAAGATTTTATTTATTTTATTCATGAGAAACAGAGAGAGAGAGGCAGAGGGAGAAGCAGGCTCCCAAGGAGCGGGGAGTCCGATGTGGGACTCGATCCCAGGACCCTGGGATCATGACCTGAGCCGAAGGCAGACGCTTAACCATCTGAGCCACCCAGGTGCCCCCAAACCAAAGAATATTTAATATTCTCAAAGTTCCTTTCTTTGACTCCTTAGCTCCCCTCTTCTGTTCCCTTGGGAGTAATAATCAGCAAGTACTTTAAATATTCATTAATTTACCAAGATAATGTAGTTCATTTCCAGCAGACGTGCTTTCCTTTTGCGTTCTTGTCATTAAAATCTTCTCTTGTGTATTTCCTGTAGGTGAAGTCCTGGGCTTTGAAAATCTCGTCTTTAGTATTTTTGAGTTTGTCCATGCTCTCCTAGAAAATAGCAAATTCAAAAGCACTGTTAAGAAAGCCTTGCCTGAGTTGATTTACTATATAATCCTGTACATGCAGATCACTGAGGAGCAGGTAAATGATATTTGGGAGACAGTTAGCAGCCTGTTTTGGGAAAGTGCAACTTGAATGTGAAATCTAGGTCAAGTGAACAATTTTTATTTCTGAAAATAGACACTAGAAGAGTAACTTCATGTGAAGTCCTAGGAAGGCTTTGATACCATCTTATTGCCAAAATTTCTGGGTGTTGTGGTTTTATTAACTCCAGTATTAGATAATTGGACTCTGAGAATACTTTTACCTCCATAGTACCACTAACCAAAGACCCTGGTATCTAGAAGAACTTACTCCTTTTCTATAAATACTGACACACAGACAGAAATCATTAGCTTGGTTGGTGGGTCATTAGACCAGAAAAGAACATTAAAAAAATAAGATAATGTTTCCTCTCTTATATAAATACCACAAGAATCAGCATAATTTTCACATTAAATATTCCATGAGACCTAATATATTCAGAAAGTTGATCTGTCAGAAATAACAGCTGATGAAAGGTAGCAAAGAACTAGTAATCAGCTACATTCTAAAATAGTGTCTACTAGAGAGGAATAACTTTTGCTACTTACCTTGATAAAGGATTTGCTTCTCTACATCAAAAAGAAAAGACTTGGAAGCTAGAGTTCTGTTCCAGATAAAAACAAAAGGTTGAAATCTTCCTGTGTGTGTGGATGAAAAAAGGGAACATATGAACCAGATTGGCAGCCTCACAAAGACCTAACTTCATCATCCTTTCAGATTAAAGTATGGACAGCCAACCCCCAACAGTTTGTAGAAGATGAGGATGATGATACTTTCTCCTATACAGTTAGGATTGCAGCTCAAGACCTATTGCTGGTAAGTGGGTTCCCTTGATACTTCAACCAAAAAAAAAGAGTATTCCCTCTTTCTAGGCATCTAACCCAAGTTGAGCAGTGTTACTGCGTGACTATATCTTAGATTTCTTTGAGGATAACAAGAGAGCATCCCAAATAAAGTTTGAGACTCAGGAATTCCAAAGTCATCGGTCCTGGTTTTGGTTTACAAGGAAATATTAGATGTAAAAATTGTACAGAGGATAAAGTGTTCTAATGAGTAAGAGTAGTTAAATCAGGAACACTCATTTTAATCCACTCTTAAGCCAGAATTTGTAGCACAAACCAGATGTTGGCAAACTTTAAAAAAAAATTAGATTGCTGAGAGAAGAACATCCAAACATCTGCTGTTTTCTTTGGCTCTGACTAGGTCATAGAATTGTCTCTAGGCTGAAGTTCTGTGAAGAAGCTGCCTCTTGCTGTATATTGGGTGGAAGGTTTGTTCTCATTATTAGTGAACACTTCTCATTATCCTTCAGTATTTCTTTTTTTTTTAAAGATTTTATTTATTTATTTGACAGAGAGATCGCGAGAGAGGGAACACAAGCAGGCAGAATGGGAGAGGGAGAAGCAGGCCTCCCTCTGAGCAGTGAGCCCGATGCGGGGCTCTATCCCAGGACCCTGGGATCATGACCTGAGCCGAAGGCAGACACTTAACGACTAAGCTACCCAGGTGCCCCTATCCTTCAGTATTTCTAAGGCACCTAGGAAAGATCACATTAAGTTTCAATTTGTAGATTAGCCTTTTATTTCTACAGTCAGTCCCCAGAGAATAAATAGTCTGGTCCATTGTTATCTGAAGCTGAGTCTGTTAGTGCTACTTATTCTCTGCTCAATCTAGCCAAAGGGAGCTTTACATTTTGTTAGCTTTCCAATGCCTAGGCACTGCAGAAATATAAATATTACTCTAATTCCATTAAAGACCTTGAACTAAGAGGGGTTGTATTTTTAATACACCTAATCGGGGTTTAGCATGTATATGTAAAAGAGTTTGAACCACTGAGTTTGCAGTTAAGTTTTCAGTTTCAATTAAAATGGGTTTAATCTGGGAAGCCTGGGTGGCTCAGTTGGTTAAAGCGTCTGCCTTGGGCTCAGGTCATGATCCCAGGATCCTGGGATCGAGTTCCGCATCCGCTCCTTGCTCAGCCGGGAGCATGCTTCTCCCTCTCCCTCTGCCCCTGCTTGTGTTCCTGCTCTCGCTGTCTCTCTCTGTGTCAGATAAATAAATAAAATCTTTAAAAAAAGTAAAGTGGGTTTAATTTGCACAGACAGGTTTACCAGCCCCTCCCCTCTCTCCCTAGGCTGTGGCCACTGATTTCCAGAATGAGAGTGCAGCAGCCCTGGCTGCTGCAGCCACTCGGCATTTACAAGAAGCTGAGCAAACCAAAAACAGCGGTACCGAACACTGGTAAGAGTGAGCAGCAGATACTTAATTTAGGGACATATTCTGGGCATCAGATCTGAGACAATCAAATCCTTGCTTTGAATCATGTGTTTTAAAGCAATTCCTCCCAACCTTAAAATAATTGGTTAAGATGCTTTTATTTTACCCCTTAATTTAAAAAGCCTTGGAGGGAAGGACTTTTACTTTTGTTTTTAATTAGAAAAATTTGTTAATCTAAATGTCCTTGTTTTCAGCTCTAAATTTAAATTAGAAGGACAGAAAATGGCCTTTTTTGGGTCAGATTGTGCTGGAATGCCCTTTCCTGTTTCTCCTTCCCTCAGGCGTTTATCTTTTTGGCAGTGTAGTTTGTTTTACCAGACTATGGTATCGCTTTCTCAGGTGGAAGATACACGAGGCATGTATGCTTGCCCTCGGCTCAGTAAAGTCTATCATCACTGACAGTGTGAAGAATGGCAGGATCCATTTTGACATGCATGGGTTCCTGACCAATGTCATCCTTGCAGACCTCAACCTTTCAGGTATGTTTCAGCACAATGCCAGGATTCTGGAAGATCTTTAAACCTGTCATCAACTCAGTTATATTGTTCACTTAGATAGATAAACCAGGTATTCATGTGTCCTTTGGGTGAAAATTCTTTCCACACTAGAGCTTGAACTCATCTGAACCTCTAAAACAGCCTAGAGACCTTGGCTCAGGCTTTACCAGCTAAGAAATATTGCCGCATTCATAATTTTTCCACTCTGTTCACATTTCCTTCCAAATTACTGCTCACATTTATGGCTGGTTTTGGCATTTGAATAGGATGCAAATTTGGTTACTGTACCTTGAGAACTTTGGCTTGAGTTCTGTCATTATCAAGTGCAAAATACCTTCAGGCGGTTTGTGTCAGGCTCATTCTTCCTGTTTGTTTCCTGTCATTTTTCTCAAACTTTATTCTTGGCCAAGATCCAAATAATTAAAATGTTCCATTCTCAAGTCCATGTTAGCTGCTTGCCTTAAGGAAAAAAAAAAAGTTGGCTCTACTATATTAGACTTGGATTTCTCCAGCAATGCAGAGCAATAGCTAAGAATTTTCATCTCTCAATTTGACATCTTCAGCTATGTTGCTTCTGCCCATGCTATGCCTTATTCTCATCCTTAGACCCGCCCACCCCCCCATTACAAAAGGCCATCTTTGCTTTCTCATGTACATAAATCATGGCACATTTGGCATTATTTGCTCCATTCACTCGCTCATAGACTAGCCGTTTGAATAGCCAAAGCCATTTGAAAACATTCTACTCTGACTTTAGGTAATCTGTTAGAGGATATCTTACAAAGTCACTTCCATTCTCTGACTCACAAAATTAAAATGGTTGAACATCCAGAGCTCAGGCCCATTGGAAATATCCTTTTTCACTCTTACACTGATGAATGTTTTCTTTCTCATACTAGACTATAAGGTCTCTGAAGGTAGAAATCATGTCTAATACATGTTTGTATCCCACAGTGCCTTGCATGTAATAGGCATTTCATAATTATGTGTTGAATGAAAGTGTCGAAATTTCTTAAACCCATCAATGTATTTTTTGTAGAATTTACCCTAGTAAAGAACCTTCAAAAATTCATGGAGACTTGAGAATATTTATAATTGAGACTGGGGCAAAGTTTAATATAGCATTTATTATCCTGTCAATAGCTAAAAGCTTTTCGGCACTAGCCATTCTCAAACTTTCTGGTGTCAAGACCGCTTTATACTTTTAAAAATTATCAGTGATCGGAAAGAGTTTTTCTGTGAATTTTGTGTGTCAATATTTAACATATTAGAAATGAAAATTGAGAAGTTTCAGGGCACCTGGGTGGCTCAGATGGTTAAGCATCTGACTCTTTTTTTTTTTTTTTTTTAATT